ATTTCGAGGGTATGTCTATCGACCAAAAGTGATTGTAATTAACCTCTGCAGCTAAAAATAATTTTTTTGGAACGATTTGAAATTTTTTAATTTCGCCGAAAAAGACACGGATAAGTCTAAATCGACCTTTATAGTTATTCGGATAACCGGGTGCCGGATAACAGGAACACTACTGTACCAGTTTTCTCGATTCCCCGATAAACCATTCTTGGCATAAAAAGCGTAAGATCGGTCCGCGACGACACCTTCTGCACTCGACTTCCTTATTAGTTCGGATAACAAGGTCCTCCGGTTTGATTTCTGTTTGAAAGATCGTAAACTGTAAGAGGTTTGAAGAAGGTTTGCCACCCAACGAGCATGTGTCGGCCTCGTCTGCGCCGGATATCGGAACCGTTGGAACAAAAGGGGGTCGGGTGTTCGTTGTAATCTTGGTCCGTTCGTTCGTAGGAGGGTGTCAAGGAGTAAGGAGAGTTTTCGAGGACCGAATCGGCTGGAGCCGTCGGCGAATCGACGAAGAACTGGAGAAGAGAGCGGAGAGGAGAGGAGAAGGTGGTTCTCGCGCGATAGCCCTAACACGAACGCACGAGACCTCGGGGAAATCCTAATATTTTAACCACTGGCGAGGAATGAAAGGACCCGGGTGAGCATGAAAAGGGAAAAAGGGGTGCGCGAATCATCCTTGCGTACCCTTAAACCCCTACTGGATGGGGTGGAACCTGCAAGGTGGATGGAACTGTATAACCCGTTGCGGTACCCCGAGGGAAGTACTTGCAATTAACGCGGTAAGACTCGGCTCTTGCATGGGGTAGTACACCCTTCGTCACCGTGTCTTTCTCTCTTCGTTGCTCCGGCGATCTTCCCTCGTCGTCTTTGTATACCTTTTTCTCTGTTCGCGGTCCTCCCTCTCTCTCCCTCTCTCTCGCGTAAGGTCCCTCGCGACCCCTTGGAGCGGTCGTAGGGGACGCCAGAATGGCTGTGTTCGGTTATTTGTCAGGGATACGCGTAATCGCGCGCACGCGCGTTCTTGCAACTCTTCTGAGAAATCTACCCTCGTTTGTCACCGTGTATTTACCTAGCCGCTCGTTACCTCCGCGTTTGTCGCGGAACACGCGCTTCGATGGCCCAGATTCCTCCAAACGCCAACCAAATTAACGACACAACGATGCTTGGAACGTTCAACGTCCTGACTCGTTAGTTTTCGTTGCAGCGTCAAGATCTGTTCCTTTCGACGATTGATTTCCCGTTTACGAACAACTCGTGGCCGTTGGTCGCGCGAGAACGTCGAGTATCGCTCGGAAAACTATCTACGAAAAGAATCGGGAACGTGGAAAGACGACATTCTCTCCCCTTGGGATCGAAAAATTAGGCCCGAGGATTTTTACCGAGCAACTGTTCATTAATCACGCGGTTGTCGGTGGAGAGCTGTACCACCAAGAGAATAGAAGATTTCTTCCGTATCCTGGAAACGGCGACGAGTGTCCATTGTGCTTGGCCGAGTGCACGTTCGTGTAAAATCTAATGTCCGGACAGCTCGTATGGCGTCCTGTCCGTTGGATTTCCCCCATAGAACGTGGTTTTGGGCCACCATTAGCATTCTACACCGTTAACCCGCTTCAAGAGAATTTCAATGCGTACGATTCGTATCCAGAAAGTGAGTCTCGATCTATTGTTAAGGAGAAATCAAAAGAAACGGCTTTACAAAGTGTCAGCCTCCCAGCGAACGTGGCTGATTTACACCGACAACTTAGTTTCTTTTGTTTATTTTGTATTTTGTGAGGTTCTTTCTCTTGGTTTACGAATTATTAATGTCTGCTAGAACTCTGGGGGCTATTCTGTGCCTACGTTGCGGTCAGGGGACCGATCGTTGACCGAGAAAATATTCGGCAGGCAATCTAGCGATCGATAGAGCCGAGAGTTTGCTATTCCTACGCGTTAGTTACGCGCGAGAGGGTGGAGATCTTGGGCCCGCGAATATCAACGAATTTCGTCTAATTAGCATCCGACGCTTCTATCGCGATTTCGAGCCGGTGATCCGTGAAACGCCGGCTCCGTCCACCGATTGCCTTTTCATCGATGGAGTTTGACGGCTGTCGATCGGTTTTTCCGTACATCTGCTCGTCGGCTCGCTGCTTTCCCGTAATTCGGGCACCAAAAGGAGCCCTATTCGCCGGCTGAAATCAATATCGGTACGCTTTATTAGGCCAATGCGACTCTTTCCGAGACTGTGAAACTTGCAATCGACGCAAGTTCGAGCGAATAGTTTAGGTCAGGGTTTCTCAAGGTTTCTCGTAGACTATTCGGTTCGGATCGATGAAACGAATAAAGGAAAGAAACGCGGCTGGAATTTATTAACAGAATAGGCGTCGTTTTCCAGCCGGATAATGGTGATCGAAGGGAGGGGAAAATTCATTATCGTTAGGATGGTAGAAAGGAGCGTCTTCGGATCTTGGATTTCCCTTTGGAAACGTACAAGCAACGCGTAACGAGGCGCGGTGGATCGAAACGAAGCGGAAACAGCGCAGATACGGAGTCCGATAGGATTGATTTGCCGCGCGGTAAACCGATACTTTGACCTTTATAGGCGATCATCATTCGACGTACCCTCGAAACGGTATATCACGATCGCTGTTTCCCCGCGAAACGGCCGGGGACGAGAAATACGAGCTATCGGAAGTCCCTTTCGAAGGCTTATTCCCAGGACTCCTTTTCCCGCGCGCGCCTTATCGTTTCTATTAAAGAATGCTCGAGATATATCGAAGGAACGATACCGAGGATCAACGTCGTATCTACGGGGCCATCGACAAATCGAACGGGAACACTGGACGTCGAAATGGCAAATGCGTTTTACCGAACGACTCTAATGATCTTTGGTTTGTTAGAAGCCTTCGACGTAGGAAAGTACGGAATTTAGATGTCACAGTTTTGCAAGACCGTTCGCCTAATTGTCCCGGACGTTCCTGTCACCTGCACACTGCTGATCCGTTACCCCGTCACTGGAGGGCCGCAGGCGGGGGCGGAGGGTTGGCAGAATAATTTCGGCTCGTGTATTTCGACCGATACAAGAACACAGTCTGGCACAGCGAAACGACTAGATTACACGTGGCAAGAGTATGTCACCGAACTGTAGCTGTTAATTCCAATGTACGATGTCTTAACCACTCGACGTACGATTTAAATTCGAATAATTTTTTAAACGTGTACCGTTTAATTTTGTTTAAATTTGCTCGTACAAGAAATAGCCACGAGAATGTAACGAGTCAGACTCGTTGATTGCTTTTCTATTATTAAGAAGCTCGGTTGATTTCGCGAACCGACGCTGGACAGTACGCGTTTAATATTTCGAGACCTTCGAATCCCTCAAGTATTTTCAAACTCTCTCCGTAAACACGAATAATGTGCCAGGCAATTCGAACGATTGTACGTCTAAGTTGCTTGGAAGTTTGCGGCCGGAGAGAATACGGACTACTCGTCGGTGGTCGACGCCTATTGTTCCAAGCGCGTATTGTTCCCTGCAATTTTCCTTCGACTTCTGAATAAAGTACTCGCGAAGTAGCTCAGCCCGGCACCGGGAAATAATGCGCTGCGAGCGACAAGTCGCCGGGAAAAACACCGATGATAAATGTTTGTTAACTTTACCGCGGCACCGCGATCGGCCCTCGAGACTTTAATTTGCATTTATTCGGTCGTTTGGCAAGCTCTGCGCTCGTTCCAAGTAATTACGATAAAATAGATACGTAATGGAAAGAAGGGAAAGATAGGCGTTTGACCGTGCGCATCGGTAAAACTGACGCAAGGAGGAAAACCGCAAGGAGGACGATGATAAGAGGCAGGAACTCGACGGTATAGCGTTAATTACAGTTTGTTCGGTAGTCGGCGGGCGTGACAGAAACGGCCTGTCGGCCCTAACAATGGAAACTGGGTTAAAAAGTGAAAGGATACAGAGATTGGAGGAGAAACGAACGACCGTGGACTTCTATTCGGTGTTCCTGTTCGGCTACAGACACGCGGAATTCGGTACCCCCCGTCCATTTCCTGCTTCTTTTCCCTATTTTCCTACCCCTTGTCTTCGCGATCGACGAAACCCCGATACGGTTTTGTTTCCAACCCCTGTTTTCGCGCCGTTTTCACCGTCGTTGAACAATGGCAGGCGATTGTTTCGAATCGAATGGTTTTTATCGTACAGTTGCCGTACGACGAACGATGTAAGCAGAGACCATAGGAACAAAAATAGCTCGTCTTTAGAAAGACGAACGAAAAGGATAATGGCCTGTGTCGAAGGTGTGAAACGTCTAAGCACACGGATTTTTCCGCGAGCCGAGAGCCTTGAAGTTCGTCTTGTATCTAGCGATCGTTAGTCAGGAATCCGCGAGGAATGATTAATAGAAATCCTTGACGCTCCTTCGCGATTCTTGGAGCACGCCTTCGTTCTTGCTACCTGTCTCCACCGCCGCCTCGTTTATCCGTCGTGGGCGTGTTTTCGTCGTGGTTCGCGCAATTAGCCTCGCAGTTCCTATCCTTTTTTTACCGCGAATAAAAAGCCCGGAAACTTGGGAAAGATTGCTCAAATTTGTACTATTATTAACCACGCATTTTACGTGGAAGAACAAGAATTTTTTATTACGCGATGCATATTATGTTTAAATATTATTTACAGCAGATAAAGTGAGTTGTATAATCGCGATTATACAATTTATCCGCTGGTCATCGGTGACCACCTGTAGACCGTTTTTGCGATTATCAGTTTTTCAAACTGTTGTGCTCCAGTTGCTAAGCAGCTACTCTCATTTAGTCTTGATTGAAAGCAGCTAGGGAGAATAAAAGGAAAGAATTGTACTGGTTCACCTTTTCTTTACCTAGTGTTTCGATGTAACTCATCGATATTCACTCTAATTGTGTATTTTTACTATTAATCACATCGCCGGTCACCGGTGACCCCCACGGCAGTAAACGCGTTAGTTAGTTTAAAGCGGGTTTTCTTTCGTGATCGAAGGACCTCGTTTCACCGTTGGCGGTATCTCGCTAGAAATCCCGAAGCTTCGAGCCGCCAGGGAGCGGCAATTCTGTTGTTTATCCGCAGCTTTCCCCACTCGTGGCAAGTGTTTTCACCTCTTTGGTGTTTGCTCCGCGTAGTGTCGGTTCAAACATCGCCAAGACAAGTAACGGTGCAACTTTGTTCCCGCCAGTTCGCGAATCATGTCGCGAATTTCGACCGTCTCGATCGTTCTTCTCCTCGCGACAATCGCGATCGCGATTGCGCACGCGAAACCGACGATATACAAAAGGAATCAGGACAACGTGTTCGAGCCAGGTAGGCGTCTTTTTATTAAATTCAACGAGACGAACAATCGCAGCGATTATATCGGTGAAACGAGTGGTGATAAAAATGACGGTGTTGCTTGAAAATGTTATTATACAATTGCAAACTAAACTGACTCTCGTTAAAGCACCGATTTCCTACGTGGGAACTTTAAAACGACCGAAAGATAAGAAGCTGCTCGGGGCGGTTTTAAAAAGATCGAAAGTCTCGGTTTCTCTTTCTCCGGTGCTGATGCAGATCGAGGTCTTGGTCGCGCGTGGATCTCCCAGAAAAACTTTCACCTTAATTGCTGGCATCTTCCATTGTCGGCGATTATGTTTCAAGGGAAACCTTCGTAGCCACGGAACCTTTGATTAGAACCTCTTCTCGACGAGTCCCCTTTAAAATTTCTACCTTCTAAACGATTTCATATCAAACTGAAAATAAATCATAATTCATATTCTTGCTACATAGGAATCTAAAGAGTATTCTATTTATACGAATGCGCGTATACTAATCATTTGACATTTTGCGCGCTTACGCATACTTCTCTGAATACGGTGAACAGGTGTCTCGATGACTAATTCCCGCGGAACATCGAGCCTTTTTTTTTTATTTTCTCGATCACATCTATCTTCGAGAAAAAGAGAGGGAACGGACGCGTATTTGACCAAATAAAGTGCGATCACGAAAAGTCCGAATTTCCTTGAGGCAATGTTTCACAGGCGAAAATAACGGGACGATGGCGTCACTCGCGTTCCGGGTGCGCTTCGCTTATGGCGGTCATAAGTAGATCGTATTCTCGACGTAGCGGCTCCTAGACGAACCGACAAACGATCATTTTTGCCTCTCATTCGTCTGATCCTAGTTTTCTACGATTAACACACCCCCTCGTACGGCTTACGTTCCTGTAAAAAAGATATTGGTTTGGACGTGTACTAAGATACACGTGGCACCCTAACCTAAAATCGGTTCGGTACAAAAAAAATTATACAGAAATGCCTCTTTTTAGCGTTCTGATCTACAAGATTCCCTTAACGCCATTAGTACCATTCAGTCGTCGGGTTAGGTATGAAAATTCAGTTATTGGATCGTTACCACTATCGAGTTACTGGGTCATTAGCTATATCGAGTTATTATCGGTTTCTTAATAACACCGAGACGTTCGATTATCAGCAATGTACATAGACCGCTGCACCAAAAACGAACACGGAATAAAAATTACAATCGTGTGACCGAAACGATGCTTCGTACGCCTTGTACCCTAACCAGCAACGTTCAACGTCTCAAAAAACTAATCACACGTAAAACGATAACAGAATTTTCGACCTTGACTGCCGTTAGAAAGCTGGAAAAGAGAAAATGAGAGACCGGTGATTGCGGCAAGGTGTGTGTTGTTGCACAAAGTGCAATCGCGTCACGCGATTCGAAAGGATATGCGTACGTTGCACTACGATAGCGGAACATACTGACATATGAAAGATACTCGTATTAATTTTTACGAACGCCCTTATACAGGGTGTTCGGCCAACATTGGAAAAATTCTAATGGGAGATTCTAGAGGCCAAAACAAGACGGAAATCAAGAATACTAATTTGTTGATGGAGCCTTCGTTAAAAAGTTATTAACGTATAAAGTTCCACTAGTACTGAATTTTTTTCTCAAAAATGCATAGGATTTCGAGGGTATGTCTATTGACCAAAAATGATTGCAATAGACCCCTGCAACTAAAAATAATTTTTCCAAAACGATTTAAAATTTTTTTTTTCCGTCGAAAAATTTCACACCTCGAATTTTTTTCTAGAAAGTGGGTAAGATTTCGAGGGTACGTCTATTGACCAACAATGATTGCAATAGACCCCTGCAACTAAAAATAATTTTTCCAAACCGATTTAAAATTTTTCTTTTCTGTCGAAAAATTTCACACCTCAAATTTTTTTCTAGAAAGTGGGTAGAATTTCGGGGGTACGTCTATTGACCAAAAATGATTGAAATTGACCCTTGCAACTAGACATATTTTTTTTAGAGCGATTTGAAATGATTTAATTTTGTCGAAAAATTTCACACCTACTCGAATTTTTTTCTCAAAAGTAGATAGGATTTTGGAGGTATGTATATTCACCAAAAATGATTGCAATTGACCTCCGCAACCGAAAATAATTTTTCCAGAACGATTTGAAATTTTTTTTTTCGTCGAGAAATTTAGGCACCAAGATTTTCGGTAAGGAATTTTTTTCTCGAAATTGCGTAGGATTTGTGGGGTATGTATAATGACCATAAATGATTGTAATTGACCCTTCTAGCTAAAAATAATTTTTTTAGAATGATTTGAAATTTTTTAATTTAATTGTTAATAACTTTTTAACGAAGCCTCAGTCAAGAAATTGATATTCTTTATTTTCGTCGTATTTTGGCCTCCAGAATCTCCCATTAAAATTTTTCCCAGGGTTGGCCGAACACCCTGTATAATCCGAGTAAATACCAACTGGATACGTTCGAGAGTGACATTCCAACTGACGGAATAGTTGCACGAATGAAAACCTTTCGAATGAACCCCAATTTTCCTGAATTCACAAGGTCGTTGAACTACGATACGCTGCATCGAAATTCGTAAAATTCAGACGATGGTCCATCGTGGATTTAATCGAGATTTTACGCCGACAGTGAGACAAGAGGTGTTCGATATAACATAGATTTTCACGAGAATGCTGCTTCGCGACCCGATTTTCACCCGACTGCCAACAGTCCATCGAGAGCCAATAATTAAACCGATCGACGTCGACGCGAACGCCGGGGGCCGCCTTGTATAATGAATCGATATTCGATTAAGAGTGATAAGCAAATATTTCCCATCGAGTCTGGGGCGGGTGAACGTTTGATAGATAGAGCGATATCGTTACGCTTCGAATCGTTTCTACTTTCGCTGCTATGTACACACGAGCGTGTATCGAACTGTCGAAGCATCGTGCACAGTCTGTTATCGTACGATGCTTGAGTTTTCCTCCCGCCAAATCGATAGATCGCGTTAAACTTTTCAATTGAAATTTTACTTCACAAGATTATTCCTTCCTTTTTCAGTGATGGTGCCAGTCTCATCCACGGTGATTCCTCTCCCCGTGTACAGAGGAGAGTACAGTTTAAGGCCTGTATCGAAAGATAAAGACGCGTTTAACCCGAACGACGGAGCGAAACTGATAACGAGTGAGTTGATCTTAAACATCTCGAGTTTGGCGGTTGTGCTTGAAAACGTTGTTTTTTGCAGTCAAGAAAGGCCAAGATAAGAAAACGTAATGTCGTCGACGCCAACGTGGACAGATCCCATCGGCGAACCGCCATCGATCGAACGGTGTAAATTTATTAGTGTCACGTTGTAGCATACGAGAACATTTGATAGCGTAAGCTGACTTCGTAAGTTATGCTTTTTACAGAGCCGCAGAAACTTCACACCAAAAACTGATTTACCTCTGTTACTTACTGATTTACGTTAGTTGATTAATTTTGCCGTTAGGAATTTATTAGCACATCGTAATACATCGCAGTAAGATCAAACGTTATGAAGCTGAACCATAGTAAGGGTGAAAACGTGTTAAGTTTTTGTATTTAATTCGAAATATAAAACATCGTTTCTCATATCGTGTTTGCTCGCAACACACTTAGTCGATACTCTGACAAAACTCGCTGATATTTCAAAGGAACATTATGGAATTCGAAAGCAAGAAATTGCAACGTATCAACGAACTGGCAGGTAATTAAAACGAATAATTTATCTATCTACCGTTACGATATTTCCATGGCTTCTTCGGCTGAAACAGAGGTATAAATGTAATGATACGAATTCGCGATCACGAAGAAATCGATCGCCGCAAGAATAAAAATTTACTTACGTGTTTCGTTGAACATGAAATCATCCTGATATTCTTTTAGAAATTGCGTAGATCTATTTTCATCGAGAAACAGCGAATAGACGCGTTTCACATCGTCGATATTCACCTTAAAATAAATGTCAACGAGTTACGTGGAATTTATTACTCTCGTAACAATAGAAAATAACTGTCCAATTATCGTACTTACCTTGGTACTCTTCCTTCGTCGACAGACAAGAGACGCGGTTGTAATTAATTGAATCGCGTATCTCAACGACGTTTCTAACGCGATTCTTGTAAGTACCGTTAAAGCATCGTCAGCCATTTCGCAGTCCTCTTCTTCGCACCTTATGTACAAAATTTCTCTTAATTCCTTTTCTTGGTACGGAGTCGTCGGAACAATGATCATACGGTCCAATAAATCAATAGGAATACCGTGTGGACTTTTATAGTTCGTTCCTCTGATCCTTGTAACACCTTTGCAATAAAAAAAATCATCCCTCGCATTAGTCGAAGTAAATTGTTACGAAACGAATACGTTCTACATGCGTGTATACCTCTGTTTGTAGCCATAATCACAACAGGTGCCATTTCGTTTTCGAGCGCTCGATTCAAGAACGAGAAGCATTCGATGTCGAGCATGTGAACCTCGTCGATGAAGAGGACACCCGGGACGATTTCCGCCTTGCCCTCTTCCCGCCATTCGGCAACTTTCGCATTTATTTGATCCCGTACTTCCGACTTGATCTCCCCCGTGTCGCCGGAGAACAAAGCCAGGAACCCGTGTGTTCTACTGTTTATAACGTCTACTTCGTGCAACGTTACTGTGTGAACCACCTCTTTGCGTTTCTGCAATTCACCCTCTGGGCATTGTACAAAACGTGTCTGGGAACCGGTAGCGTCGTAATCGCGAGCCCTGGTGAACGACCGTCCGAGTCTGTTAATTTTTCCCGTAGCCTTATCGATGGTAATTACGTCACCCGCTTGTACCTTGAACAAATTTATAAATTTACGAAATCGGAAAACAATATTCGGAATCTAGGTACCGGTTGGTTATTCCTACTAACTTTCTCCTTCATTAAACTATCGATCATTTTATTTCCCAAATCGTAGATCGTTTCCATCTCCGTCGTTTTCAACGTTAATTTACCAACTTTGGCACCGATTCCCGTAGCCGGTCTATCCACCTGGATTTCAACGACCTCGCCCTCTATAATTTCCGTTTCCTCTTTGATCCTGACACCTATAGACTTTCTGATAGCCTGTGTCAAAGCTTCTGTTTTACTCATCTCCAATGAGTATATTTCAGAACCTGCCATCGAAGTGAACGGAGTATCCAATCCTAAAGCTTGCGCCATTGCCATAGCAATGGCAGTCTTCCCAGTACCAGGTTGGCCTGCTAACAATACAGCGCGTCCTGCTATCTTACCATCTTTGATCATTTCCAAAACAACACCGGCCGCGCGACGTGCCATGAGCTGACCAACCATGCCCTGAGAGATCTACAAGATTACATTTTATTAATAAAATTAAATAGCAAAATAAATAAGACCTTTCGAGTCTTTTTTAATCTGAATTTATTAAAGTTAGGACTATTAGATCCTTCTAAATAAGTTGTATATCTTCCTAAAAAATATTTCAACAGTTTGGTTGATGAATTAATGTATTACATTACGAGGTTCCAAGCTATCGTCTAATCCTAAGCCTCTAATGTGGGAATGGGCTCCGATTCTTTCTATTCTAGTAATCTCCCTGACCTCTTGAACTTTTGCAGCTGCAACAGCCTGAAACAACAATGTACTTTTATTAATACAATGCGATATATATTTATATCCTATATATATTCCTATGGATACAAGAATGGATCAAGCAACGTGTTACCATAGCAACTTATCTTGCTTGTACTATAAAGAGAAACGAAGAATCAATTTATGGAATCAAATTGTAGTTTTTATTGTAACATACAATACAATGGACCGAAACAAATGCTTATTTTAAAATATATGTCCAACGTGTATAGGTTAACCGACGCAAACAAATTAAAGCTACGTGTGACACGAGTGTTGATGCCATTATTGACAATAATATTGTAAATTAACAATAGATGATAACATTAATTTTCATAAATATTATTTACCGCCATGTTTGTTGGTTTTCTTTGAACCCACGCCTGTTTATGTACGACACACTGCTTTCGTCGCACATGCGAACACTGATGCTAGACGGAGCCCTCGTTGCCAGTGATGCCAGATTGAGCACCGGGTGCACTACTCCACACTATGCCAGATCACGCGTACGTGAGCTCGTGGAGTTTCGGAGAGTCGACAAAGGCAAACTGACACATGCCCCCTTTCTCGATTCTCCGAAGCTGCCCGAAGTAATTTCGGACCGTCTCATGGGAGTCGAGAGAGGAAGGCTCATTTGCCTTCTCGCGCTTGAACAACTGAAATTCGACCTCACGTCGACGGCATACGATTCCAAGTCTCGACTGGCCAGGTATTTTTTACTTTCCGACCTATGTATGTAGACGAACATAAGCAAGATACTATAATGAACAAAATTTTGTGAAATTTTTCTTACGGAAATACACGTTTTATGATTACGATTACTACATGTTACTGCTTGCTCCTGCTGGTCTCTGCTTGCCTCTGCTTGCCTCTGCTGACCCCTGCTGACCCCTGCTGACCCCTGCTGACCACTGTTGACCCCTACTGACCCCTGCTGACCACTGCTGGCCACTGCTGGCCTTTGTTAACAACTTCTGACATGATACATATGTATTAAAACATTGTATAATGTAAATCTATGGCAATAAATTATATAATTTCAAAGAATTCTATCTGTTCTCATCATTTCTACACTTCTTTTCCTCGCGAAATCATTTCCATAGTTATAAGATACGTGCCCCCTCTTCCCATATCATGTCCTCCTAATAACAAAGTCTAAAATGAACCTAAAACCGTCACCAAAATTTTTGCTCGAAAATTTCGCCGATTTCCAAAATTTCAAGGAGTTTCAGGACTTTCCAGCTGTTTCAGGACTTTCCAGCTGCTTCCAAAATTTCAAGGAGTTTCAGGACTTCCGAGTTGTTTCAGGGCTTTCCAGCTGTTTCAGGACTTTCCAGCTGTTTCAGCACTTTCCAGCTGTTTCAGGACTTTCCAGCTGCCTCCAAAATATCAAGGAGTTTCAGGGCTTCCGAGTTGTTTCAGGACTTTCCAGATGTTTCAGGGTTTTCCAGCTGTTTCAGGACTTTCCAATTGTTTCAGGACTTTCCAATTGTTTCAGGGCTTTTTGAAAAGTTAATTTTTGATTTTGGCAGCAAGTACAAGAGCTGGACACTTCGGGAATCCAATGTTAACCGGAAAAACGGTCTCTTAAAACTAAGGCAATGATTTGGAGAGGAAAAGAAAGGTAAAAATGATGAGAACACATAGTATTCTGTTAAATTATATCATTTATTGGTATAGATTTACATTATACAAGGCTTGAATACTTATACATCATGTCAGAAGTTGATAACAAAGGTCAGCAGTGGTCAGCAGTGGTCAGCAGTGGTCGGCAGGGGCCAACAGAGGCCAGCAGAGGGATGCAGAGGCATGCAGAGACCAGCAGTAACAAGTAGTAATCGTTATACGTTGTCGGAAGCATCAGGGGTGGTCAGCAGAGGCCAGCACAGACAGGGAAAGGCTAGCAGTAGCCAGTTGTAATCGTTATACGTTGTCAGAAATACCAGGAAAGATCAGCAGCGGTCAGCAGAGTCCAACGAAGGTTGGCAGAAGTCGTTAGTAATCGTTGTGCGTTGTCAGAAATATAAGCGGTGGTCAGCAGAGGCCAGCACAGGCAGGGAAAGGGTAGCAGTAGCCAGTCGTAATCGTTATACGTTGCACGAAGTACCAGGAGTGGTCAGCAGGGGACAGCAGGGGCATGCAGGGGCAAGCAGTAACAAGTAGTAATCGTTATACGGTGTCGGAAGTATCAGGTGTGGTCAGCAGTGGTCAGCTAGGGCCAGCAGAGGCACGCAGAAGTCAGCAGAGGTTGTGAGAGGCTGGCAGTAGCAAGCAGTAATGGTTATACGTTGCCAGATGTATCAGAAGTGATATCTGAAATGATATACATATGTCCGCTCATATATAGGAATAATAAAAATGAATTTATTTTTTTTCAATAATTCAAATATGATCAGGGGGTCATAAAACGTGTATTTCCGTAAGAAAAATTTCACAAAATTTTGTTCATTATAGTATCTTGCTTATGTTCGTCTACATACATAGGTCGGAAAGTAAAAAATACCTGGCCAGTCGAGACTTGGAATCGTATGCCGTCGACGTGAGGTCGAATTTCATTTGTTCAAGTGCGAGAAGGCAAATGAGCCTTCCTCTCTCGACTCCCATGAGACGGTCCGAAATTACTTCGGGCAGGTTCGGAGAATCGAGAAAGGGGGCATGTGTCAGTTTGCCTTTGTCGACTCTCCGAAACTCCACGAGCTCACGTACGCGTGATCTGGCATAGTGTGGAGTAGTGCACCCGGTGCTCAATCTGGCATCACTGGGTGCCCCACAGACCCCTCACCCCCCTGCTGCACACTATGCCAGATTACGCATACGTGAGCTCGGAAAGTCCAAAAAGACAAACGAATATTCTTTCTCAATCCATCACATGCATTTCGAACCATCTGCAGACGAGAGAGAAGACAAATGGAAGCATTTTCTTCTTGCTCTCGAAACAACTGAAATCCAACGTGGCGTCAACTGCATACAATTTCGAATCCCGCCTGTCCAGGCATTTCTACGTTTCGACCTATGAAGGTAGATATGCATAAGGCAATTACGTTTTAAGACCCTCTGATCTTGATTTAACTGTTGTACATTACTAAATTAATACAACAGAAATGATTCATTATTTAGGGGCCTCACTGTTATCTGTAGTACGAAAGCATTGCGTCGAAAACGCAAGATGTTGTTACGAGGCACTTGAAATGGCCGGTCATGCTTGGGTAAGATTTGTAATACATTTCCAAATCTCAAAAAATTCTTTTTACTATGCCTATGTATGCAGGAGTAGGAGGAGTGACCTCCTCACACATTTTGTGATCCTGGCACGGTTTTCTGAGTTCCAATCCCTGATATTAGATGGCGACACTATACTATGGCACTTTTTAGCGCAATACTGAAATTAGAATCGCTTCCAGTGATCGTTTATAACTTATTAATTACATTGAATAACGTATAGAGAAATGGTAGAATAACTTAATTAGATTCGAATAATATATTTAACTTTAGAATTTATAAAAATTAAGGAACTGCTGGGATAGGTAGAGGAGTATTTAAATAAGATGGAATATATGTACTATGATTTTTATTTTTCGTCAATATAAACATAAGGAATGTTTTACACGTTTCAAACTTTGTTAAATAAAAATATGCGTCGAAATCTTGATAGCACGTTTTATAAATAAATTAAATTGATGAGTAATATGTTTTTATAATAATTGTAAAATGAAGGTATGGTGTATACATATGTACGCTCATACATAGCCATAGTAAAAAGAATTTCTTTCAATTACGTTAAAGATTAAAACAAACAAAGAAAGTAAGATGTTCGTTAGAAATATATCATAATAAATGTTATGGCCCGACAATACAAATTCGGGCCACACGAGTGGAAAGTACACATAATAAATCCTATATTGTCTCTTTAATTAATATCTTAGACGATGCTATTTAAATATTATACTTTATTACAAAGTGTAGCAATAATATGTCTGGTTTACAATTAGCGTAATTGTCGCTTTGCGTATGGTGGCAAGGAATGGTCAACAGGAAAAGACGATTGACCAAACAAATATAATAGATTTGTTTCAACTTTATTAAAATATTGTTCTTTGATTATTGAGATGCGTGTCGTATTCGAAAAATGCTCACAGCAGCCGTAAAAAGATTACAAATAAAACGCAAATATAATTAAATTACAAGGGGAAGATATCGTCGTTTCGATATAAGTCGAAACTGAACTAACCGGATGTTCATTCGTTGACGACGGTCAGCACGGTATTCTATTTTTCATTTTCTTACCTGAATTAGTTTCCGGTCGTGCAAGAAAAGCGAGATAAGATAGTTAAATAAGTACATGCATGCGCGTGACTCGATGGCGAGAACACGGATTCGCTGATTAGCGTGAAGCGTAAAAAATTTCAACGATATTACGACTATGTACAAATCTCAGCTATACATATTCATATGTATATGTGGGACACGCATAAGCATGTATGTAAGCATGTTATGTATACATATATATGGATATCTGTACATGTACATACGCATAATATGTTTAAAAATGGTAAGAACATCCAATGGAACCGATTCCTAACATCAGACTAAAAATGCCAATAGCCGAACTTGGAAATTGAGCAACTTTTCCCTGAAAAGTTTACGGCGTCAAAATATTGTTGTACATGTCTTCTTTTATACTTATCCTATATCACATTTGTAATTCGTAAACCAACGTCTTTCCCTTTTTTTTTTTTTTTTGTCGACTCTCCTTTATCCCCTGTTACACCCGTCCCCGTCCAGCTCTTCCCTTTCTCTCTATCCCTCCCTCTATCACTTTCCTCCTAAAGATCATAAAACACGTATCACAATTTTTGGTAATAAAATAGCGATACACCGCAATACTCTGACAAGATAATCTCGAGCACGTGAAAAAAGTAACGAGCAAACTTTTTCAGATTTCGCAGAGGAAACATTCGATGCCGTAACAGTCGAGCACTCGGTCTTCTCAATCGAGCACAGTTATCTTTCTATCGGTGAGGTCGTTGTCTATCGTCGGTGGACCGGATACTATGATCTTCTCTTTTAAGTATTGATAGTTTTTTAATCTAGAAACCGCATAATCCTGCAAGAAACACGTTAGTTACATCGCGAGTTACTGGAATCGTGATTCTATATGTGATATTTCAATACTATCGACGATACAAAAAAATTGTTTGTGTTTAAGGTTATGTTTAGGTAATGTTTAGGTTATTGTATACAGGACGTTCGGCCTGGGATTTTAATGGGGGATTCTAGAGGCCAAAATAAGACGAAAATCATGAATACCAATTTGTCGATGGAGGCTTCGTTAAAAAGTTATTAACAATTAAATTCAAAAATTTCAAATCATTTTAAAAAAATTATTTTTAGCTAGGAGGGTCAATTTCAATCATTTTTGGTGAATAGACATACCTTCGAAATCCTATCCACTTTCGAGAAAAAAAATCGATTAGGTGTCTAAATTTTTCGGTGAAAAAAGTTTTTTTCAAATCATTCTAAAAAAATTATTTTTAGCTAGGGGGGTCAATTACAGCCATTTTTGGTGAATAGACATACCTCCGAAATCCTATCCACTTTCGAGAAAAAAATCGGTTAGGTGTCTAAATTTCTCGGTGAAAAAAGTTTTTTTCAAATCGGTCTAAAAAAATTATTTTTAGCTAGGGGGGTCAATTACAGTCATTTTTGGTGAATAGACATACCCTCGAAATCATGCACGTTTTCGAGAAAAAAAATTCTTTATCAAAAATATACTGTGTAGCCGGAAATGTTTCTACAACCTTTTCGTTTACGCCAAAATAGAGATTCCATTTTATCCTGCAATTTACATGTACACAATTTTTTCGTATGATCAATAATTATTGAAATATCGCGTGGACGCCATGTATAAAAATCGAAGGCGCCTTACCCAATATCCAAATGGAATTTCTGACAATTTGGCGTTGACGATGCTCCACAAGCCCCAAAACAAGTGGCTAGCCAAGGAGAATATCTTGATTTCCATCATGATTCGCTCTTCTTCCGACGATCCCTCTTTCCCGACCGTCCTCAAGTAACTTTTTATGAAGTTGAGCTGCCAAAGAAAGAAAATTGTTAAACCGACGAAACTAAACGGGACTAAAAAATAATTAAACGATACGTGAAAAAGACAAAGATAGGTGGTACATGTACGCGTATGCATACGTGAATATATTATAAAATAAACAGATGTAGAAACGAATACGCATCGCAGGCAGACGGATACGGCTCGTGCCGTGAGTCATATGCACGTATGGACACGTGTATATGTATATTTATTAACGAAAAGATTGGATAAAATTGAAAAGAAGCTTTTCTGAAAAGGAAAAGTATAGAAATATCGCGAGAATGGTACGCAGTTACCATTGTTGGTATCTGGCGGTCCGAAAAATCGAGACAATTGTGTAATAGGAATAAATGCACGTTCGTAGGGGCATATTATACACATAGTATATACAATATATATACGTATGTACATACATACGTGGATAGATACGTACGCGTATATAAATTGTACATATGTATATTCTAATACGTAAAACAGATATTTAAATGCGGTGAGTGAAGTGTCTTAATTGGAAATAACGCGGTTTTACCACCCATAAGACACTGTACATTTATAGAGTAATGCAGATTATGGATCGACTATCGAGAGTGCGTGTAGAGGTACTCTAGGAGTCCTAGATGCGCAGGTACGAGACTGATGTTGCAAAGGTAGGTGGTGGCACCGGTCGGTTCTGGTTCCACAACGTACGGTGCGAAACAGGATCCATCATCGCACCGGCAGATCGATATGCCGCCCATTATTCCGATTAGCCGATCGCAGGCATCAGCCTTGTCTCATCGAATCGTGGTCCTGTGAAACTAATATATACACACGCAGCACACGCCAAGCAGTCCTCGATCAGCTCTCGGTATAACTCTCAAATTCGCTCGACCGAGTCAGTACATATAGCCACGTACGTACGCACGTGTGTTTCGCGCGTTCTTACGTTCGCGATTTTCCGATCGTCACGGAAAGAGCCAACGAAAGAGGAAACAACGGGCGCAAGGGCACGAGCAAGTCAGTCAGAAAGACAGAGAGAGTGTATACATGTGTGTGTGTGCGTGTGTGTATGTGTGTAGGTGTGTATGTGAACCGAAATTTCATCGCGGATCTACCATCGAACAACGCGTACGAATTTCGCCAAATATTCGAGAATTCTTTTTTTTTTCTTTTTATTCCGGAACCGGTTTTCTATTAGCATCGTTTCCCCCCTACAAAAGTAATCGTAACATCGGTAACTAGGTATATGTATATGTATATGTAGGTAGCACCCATCGTCGATCGTTTCAACGAACTGCTGATCAACCGGGTGTCATGGCAGCCGAAGCGGAATTCATTTCTAATCGATCGTTCCGTAAAAAAATTTAACCGCGTTGACGATCGTGTGTTCTTCCGTTCTAATTTGTCTCTACTCGAGGGCGCAATACGACTTTAATGATATACGTATGTATATGTACTAATATAATGGAGGATAGTGAAACGCAATGTCTTACCCGTGCTCAAATTTCTACGAATGTTTTGGGAGTCGTAGTCAGTATCCTCCGAAACATACCTTCTGTTCGTTCGTAGGTCCAGATCCAGCGCGCTCGTGAAAGAAGGGATATTCGGCTGCCGTATAATCGTACTGCCATTCCACAAAATGATTTGCTATATCGAATCCTCGGTAGTTGTAAGAACAGTATTCGAAGTCAATAAGAACCAATTCCGGTTTTCGCGCGTTTTGTCGCAACAGTATATTACCTTCCTGCATATCGTTATGACAGAAAACTACCGGATACTTCTGTTGCGTCGCGAGAGATCTGAAAACGAGACAAAAAATGAACATTTTTCTCCTTTACAGCAAATTAATCGTAACCTTAAGAGGCCAGTCTACTTTGTAGGCAAGAAAAATACACGTTTCTTTCTGATTGTTTTTTTTTTTTTTGGGTGTTGTGGATATACTATTGGCCACCCCTGGGAGATTCTAGAGGCCAAAATAAGACGAAAATCAAGAATACCCATTTGTTGATGGAGGCTTTCTTAAAAAGTTATTAACGTTTAAAGTTCCGACAGTACTTAATTTTTTTCTCGAAAATGCGCAGGATTTCGGGGGTATGTCTATTCACCAAAAATGATTACAATTGACCCCCGCGACCGGTAGTAATTTTTCCAGAACGATTTGAAATTTTTTTTTCCGTCGAAAAATTTCACACCTTCTCGAATTTTTTTCTCCAAAATGCGCAGCATTTCGAGAGTATGTCTATTCACCAAAAATGATTATAATTGACCCCCGCGACAGAAAATAATTTTTCCAGAACGATTTGAAATTTTTTTTTTCGTTGAAAAATTTCACACCTTCTCGAATTTTTTTCTCCAAAATGCGCAGGATTTCGGGGTTATGTCTATTCACCAAAAATGATTATAATTGAACCCCGCGACAGAAAATAATTTTTCCAGAACGATTTGAAATTTTTTTTTTCTGTCGAAAAATTTCACACCTTCTCGAATTTTTTTCTCAAAAGTAGATAGGATTTCGGAGGTATGTATATTCACCAAAAATGATTGTAATCGACCTCCGCAACCGAAAGTAATTTTTCCGGAACAATTTGAAATTTTTTTTTTCCGTCGAAAAATTTCACACCTTCTCGAATTTTTTTCTCAAAAGTAGATAGGATTTCGGAGGTATGTATATTCACCAAAAATGATTGTAATCGACCCCCGCAACCGAACGTAATTTTTTACAAGGCCACAAAGTAGAAAGGTTCCTTAAAAAAAAAAAACACGTGCTCGTGGTCCATTCTCACCTGAACCAATTGATCTCGTGATCCAAATCGATCGTCCGTATCGCGTTTACGTTCTTCAACTGTCGTGCGTCTATATCTTCCGTGTTTTCTAGTATGTCCGTGGTGGTGTCCAACCACTTGGCCATGGTGTCCCATAGCCAAGTTGGTTCTTTGCTTATCGGGACCTGCATCGTATGGATACGTCCCATTTTTTCGGCGATCATCGAGCTCAAGGTCGGATCCGCCAGTTCCTTGGTGAGCAACGGTCTGGCGGGTATGTATTCCTCTATGCGACCGCCGGGAAATATGCCGTGCAACTTTGGCCCGAGTCGTCTCTCCGACAACAACGTGAAAATCACCGACTCGGTGATCAGCCCTTCCAAGGCTCGTTCCCCGTGCACCTGACCGTACAATCGTAACAAAACTTGTCGCGGTTCCCCGCGAATCGGTACAGCCCCGTCCGGTAACTGGACGTTGTACAACCAATTGCTCAATCCACCGCTAAAAGAAAAAAAAAAAAAAGAATTAAACTGGCTCGTGTATACGCGAAGAACAAAAGAAAAGAAAAAGTAAAAGACGAGATCGACGTCGGGCGAAAGTCGTCGTTATTATGCACCTACTAACCTGATACGTTTCAGCGTGATGTTCTCCGCGGTAACGTGCTTCCAGACTCCGTGAAGGTAATCGCGACATATACGTGCTGCCATTTCACGCATCTCTGGATTCTCCTCGGACATCTGTTGGCCAAAACATCCACGACTAATAAGCTCAACGATCGTCGATGACCAAACGTTTTTACGTTAAATCGTATATTCGCGTATGTAAAGCGAAGAAGATAATTAAATTTCGGTCAGCGGTTAGTCTTGGAACGCGACCAGGAATCTCGAAAGGCCGTGATACACATATGCATACGCGCGTACGTATATCTTACTTGCCATTCGATCGGTTCATTTTCCAAGATCCCCGATCAACCGGCTTGTTCGCGATATCTACGCGGACCTATTGTTCCCTTACCAATATCGATTTTATGAAGTTTAGGAAACTCGACGATCCGAGTCAAAGTCTTTACCTTACGGCGGAATAAAAAAAAATAACAACCGAGTAAAATAGCGAGTATTTAGGAATTTCAGTGTATTCACGGTGGCTCGATCGACGCGGCTAAAGTACCGGGTGTCCGCGGATGGACGTGCGACCCGTTCGCGAAACTTCCATTCCATTTCTTTTTACTTTACTTTCCTTCCGAGTACGCGCGCGCGTACACATCCACGGATCGTCTCCTTTCCTAATTCCTTCAATGTTTACCGACGAGCATCCACGTTTTTTTTTTTCTCGATACGATACGTGGTGCGTCTCGTGACAACGGATTCCACGGATGCACCTTTCGAACATACAGCTACGTACGTGGTAAATGCACGCTCGCGAATATTGGATCGCATCGGCTCGTTGTCGTCGCTGGCCGACTCTGCCGAACAGTTCTCCCGAGACTTGCGCGAAAATAACGATCGAACATTTCCTCCTGTCTATACATGCAATACACCTTCGTATATTACACGCAACAGCGTCGTTCATCGTTCCTTGATAAACTTTATCCTGCCGCGAGCAAATGAAAAATCGAACCGCTGTCGACGATTCATCGTTCGAACAAACAAATTTACTTATTTGCGAACAATTACTTCCAAAGTTCTTCGATCGATCAAATTCTATACGAATAATTCTATTCTACGATTCTCTATTACTACGTACTATACGTAATGGCTCGAAAAATTGGCCATACTATCGCAAATATGTACGTCGACGCACGATACGTAATGTATGTATTTGAGCAAGTGGTTTTGAAACCAGTGTGCAAACCATACAAACGTTTTTCACGTAATCTCGTATATTTATATATTTTCCATAACCTATTCCGCCCGAGCGAGTGTTTCTAGTCCACCTAGAGATCGTTTTTATTTATGAATGCAGACTCTATCTGTTTCTTAGTGTTTACGCGACACGCATTGTGCCATGGTCATTGTTGAATCACTGGCCTCGTCGTGGCGACGATCGTGAAACGAGGTAACACGCGACGCATGCGCAACAGCTACGAAAAAAACAGTTGGAACAGTACAATTTCGTGCAACGGTCGATCGTCCTCGTGGTTATATTTTTATATATCGACTATCTTTATTGCAAGTCTATTTCACGACCAAGACGGTCGTTGAAACCTACGGACGAGCTTCGCCATATAAACCTCGAGTCTTCCTTTCGAAAATTATTTTAATTACGTACTACAATATCATCAAACGTTTCCGAATGTCTAACGAACAAGTCTACACGTATATTCGCTCGTTATCTTGTTTGCGTTGCACGCTACAAACCTTTCGATTTTGTTTTGCAAATAACAAAGCGTTCATTCTTGGATTACGCGCGTTATCGTTATCGTAGATCGTGCTTAGGAATCTACAAAAGTAGTCGACGTATGTCTTCGTTCCAGTTTCAAACATTTTTCTACCAATTACCATCTGTCAATTATGTAATCTTTGGACCTTCCTGATAAGCGCCCGAGCTCTCAGATAGAAATACCTGTTGTTCGTTGAAAATAACGTCGAGACACTGATACGGTACGAAAGGAAAAGGGTTTAAAACCGAACGCGACTATACACAGCACTCGTAGAGGGGAGGAAAAATGCTCGGTAAACCTAAATCAACCCTTTCGATTAACCCGTTCAATTAAATCCTTAAAAGGTTTCGATTGTTCGTAAAGATTAAATATTTTCTAAATGATTATACGCGAAACGTTACGATCGAACAAAGAAAATAATTTCATCAGCACAGGTTTTTAACAACTCGTACAACGAAACATTGGTGCGACGCGAATCGTTCCAGACTTTCTATTATTTTGCCCCCACATTACTATATTTTATATTTGTTCGAAAATTTCTAAACCAAACACGAATTTACATCCATTAAATAAGTTGGTTAGGTATTCGCGAAGCCTGCTTGTGTTGCTACTCCCCGCGCTTCTGCGATCAAATATGGAAGAACAGATTTTTACGAAACATTTAAAAATATTTTCTGATAAAACAAGTGACTTTATTCCGCAAAACTTGCACGTACGTACGCAAGTACACGCTATCGTTTACGTGACAAAACGTTTGTGTGTATACATGTGCCAAGGCGTACTTATGCGAGACCGTGACCCGTAAAACACGGAGGACATTTTGTGAAATGGGGAAAAACGAAGGAAAAAAGATTTAACGATCACATTCTGACAAAAGTATCGTTTCACGAAGAAAATTTACGTACCTTATTTCCCAGACCCATTGTAGAATTGGTAAGCGACGTATGAAAATGTATAGTGTCGATAGATCTTGCGTAGATCCTAAAACCACCAGGTACTCTCTTACAGACGCTTTAAAAGCCGCTTAAACGGTTCAAGCGTCGACTCCGCACTAACTCTCGTTGCTTCGTTTCCCAGATATGCCTCGATGCAACGAAAGCGAGGTTAGAATCACTACCGTGCACGCTCGTGCAAGTAGCTTTAAATAGAAACGATTATTGTATCGGAAGAAATTCACTGCTAATTCGAGCAAAAATGTGTTTCCTCGTATTTGTTCGATTTCGACGGTCGATCCTCCGCCGCTTATTATCAAGAATAAAATATTTTTTCGACAAACGGTTTACCTAATGTATTAACTTTTGAAGGAATTGCAAACAATTATCACAGCTACGGAATAAGTGAATTTGTTCGTAAAATTCGCCAACACTGCATAAACGTGTGATTTGCAAATACGCGCTACTTCCTCCCACAAATAAATAATTATTCTTAATAGAATGCTACACTTCGTGCGTGTTGCGAATACCCTAGATCACAGTTACAGAATAGTAACACTAACGCGTACGCAACTTGTGTTTATGCACAAAATTAATATAAATATATCAAGTAATCCACAAAACGATCTGTGACACGTAACGTGTGCTAACCAATAAGCATCCGAAATTCCCCTACCCCTGGATCGTGTTTCAACGACGACGGCGCCGCTACGGATAAATTGCGCACTATGATTGTTGTGATCCAAACATTGTTTATAACTACCAAACAAATTGGTTTCACGAAAAAAAAACTTTGTGTACACGTGCCATTTATTATCCATTCTAGTTTATTACATAACAGACGCGATAATAATGTAAATAAATACACAGAATAATAAGGGAAAATTGTATGTTATTTGAGCATTTTATAAATAGGCTAAAGTATTCGCACAGAATAGAATAAATAATATATCATCGACCTTTTTCAACGGTTAATTGAATTTACGCCGATGTTATAACATCAATGTATAGAGAAAAGCATTAATTTTTTTACTGACTAGGAGAAAGTTACCAGCTCCAACACTAACCAAGACGCCTATTCGTTTGGTGCTCGAATTAATGCATTTCTTTTGGAGTGGAAAGATGAATACTTCCCAATGTACATCGATATTATAATTTCGTCGTAAATTCGAACGGCGTAAACGTACAATTACCGAGTTGTAGGGAATAGCGGAAAATTATCGTGGCAAATTATACGTTTGTATGATCTTGTGCGGATACGTGCTCGTGCCCACACATGCACTACACGCGCATTTAAATGACGCATCGATAGAAATTTGTCGGTACATTTCTAGGAAACTATCGCGGTAGTATCAACGGTTAATTATTGTTTATTCAGAATTATGCGACATATGGTATCTTCCCTAAAGCTGGTTAACTATGATAATTACGAAGAACGAAATTACACGTTATCTTGAGAAGCAATTTAATGAGGTCATACCAGATGAACTATAATATCGAATTGTTATTAATTACTAAAAATATAGAATCAGCAATACGTACTTTGATTTAACTTGTTCCAAACGATAAAGTTCGTTTTAGCTAAATTCATTTTGTTTTCTGTCGGATGAATACGACGAACGCGACAATAACGTTGCTGGGCATATTCATCGAAAGAAATTTCTTAGGAAAATTTTAGGATTCCGTAGATAAAAGAAATTCGATGCGCAAAGATATCGTGAACAGACTGCGATACGTATCTCGCGCAGTGGATAAGAAAGATTAGATAATTTCACCTTTTTTTTTTTTTCTCATGAATATAAACTAAGCTACATACACCAAAAGTACAAAGAGCGATATAGGTAATATAATAAATTTATTTGGCGAGCTTGTACGAAATTATGAATCAAGCAATCTGTTCTTGTTTCTCGATTGTACAACCTTTTCCTCGAAAAAAAAAATGTATGCATCTTTTCTAAAAAAAACGGTGCAGATCGTGTCGATTAATCATGCACAAGTCTAACCGTACGAAGGACAGACGAGACGTTGCAACTACAACTTTCATTTTCAACAGATTTGTCGTGCTGCCGCATCGTGTCAACATACAGTTCTTTAGTTGCGTAGCGATAATGGCCTTTTGTTTACTCGGATAAGATTACTTAGCATTTAACTTTAGGGACATAAAGATAAGCGAGAGAAGAAACCGTAATTAATTACAGAAAGTGGGAATACACGTTAATAAGGAATCGATACCGAGAACTTGATACTACTAAAGTAACATTAAATCATGTGTTACATTTAACATGTGTCGGCGATAACGACGACAATGATAACAGCAATGTTTTGTAGCGCGTTATAGATCAGTGGTTCGCGAGACCATCGATACATAAGTTTCCTTTACGTTTAAAATTGTACGTGCATAGTCCTGCGGAAGAGGTATACGATAAAACGCCCAAGTTGGTCGAGAAATAATTCACTTTTTGCACACTAGATGGTGTCTCAATTATTTACGATCGAGTACTAGTTTTAATTTATTTATTAATATAACAATAGAGTACTCGGTAATTTAGATCACTTATAAATGCTACACTATTAACGCCAAAGGCTCAAACTTGTCAAGAACACTCTTTGACACTGCAACACATCATCCTAGTTTTTACGTTTCTTTGAGCAAAATATGAGACTATATGTACGTCAGTCTAAGTAATAAACAGTGTCTAAAGCTTATTATTATTATAATAACTACAGCATTGGCCACATAAGTGGCTGCATTTTTGCCCACTTAAGTGTCCGTTTAGTTTGCCCATTATCCCGAGCGCGGACAATTAAATGGGCACTACTCACGTAATTCACTGTATGTCTACAGATATCAAAACGACATCAACCATAACCGCTGCTGACCACTCCCGACACTTCTGACAACGCATAACGATTACTACTGGCTTCTACTTGCTTCTGCCGAACTCTGTTGGCCCCTGCTGACCACTGCGGACAACAGCAGTGCATTTCTGATAACTTCTGATAACATATATATGTATTAAAGCTTTGTATAATGAAAATCTATGGCAATAAATGATATAATTTCAAAGAACTCCATGTGTGTTCTCATCAGTTTTACTTTTCTTTCCTTCTCCTAATCATTCCCTTAGTTATAAGAAACAGTTTGTCGTGGAATAGTTCGTTACATCCAACGCTAGATGGCGCTCTTTTTCGACCTCGGGCCCCCTGGTGCTAAAACGCCCAAGTTTGTCGTCGAATAGAGCCATCTAGCGTGGACGAACTATTCGACGACAAACTTGGGCGTTTTAGCACCAGGGGGCCCGAGGTCGAAAAATGGCGCCATCTAGCGTTGAAAATAACGATTATTCCACGATAAATTCGGGCGTTTTATCATAGATGTAGTCTTCATTTATATAGATATACATTGAATCACTTAGTTACTATAATAATAAGAAGCTTCAGACACTGTTTATTAATTAGATTGACGTACACATAGCCTCAAGTTAATTTTATTAACAGAGACAAGTTCAGATACTAAAAGAAATACTGGTAATCGATGCTGTTAAGAAAGGTAATATCACAGAAATTTTCTGTAAAGCTATTCTTTTTCGTATCGTTTGGATCGATTATGGCTTCGAGCGAAAACAAGTCAATAACAGTTACACAATGGGGATCTATCAACGGACGAACCATAGATAAGTACACACTGAAGAACAATGCGAATCAAGCAGTGGATATTATAACATACGGTGCGACAATAACCTCGATCAGAACACCGGACAAACAGGGTAGCATAGCAGACGTTGTCCTAGGTTTCGATAAAATTGAAGGTACAATTGAAATAAGAACCTACCAAATCAAATCTCATTGCAATGATCTACAGTAACTTACTCTTTGGAAATTCGTTCCAAGAAATGCATCTAATATACATATTTCATTCACAGGCTATCTATCTACGAGCAATCCCTATTTTGGCGCGACGGTAGGACGAGTTGCCAATCGTATTGGCAAGGCGGAATTTATAGTGAACGGAAAAAAGTATCGCGTATCAAATAATGCAGGAAGGAACACTCTTCACGGTGGTTTCAAGGGCTGGAGTTCGAAAATATGGAACGCTGCAATTCAGGACGATTTGCTCGTGATGACGCTATTGAGCGAAGACGGCGATGAAGGTTTCCCGGGTGCTGCTATAGCTTCGATCAGTTTCAAATTAACCACCGACGGAGGGCTGCGCATCGATATGAAAGTTTTCGTTACAAAAGCCACACCAATCAATTTAACCAATCACAGTTACTTCAATCTAGCTGGCCATGTTCGTAAATCAATATTAATTAATATCTTGGATTTATATACACGTGTTAAATTTACAAATTTTCATAAAAATGTAAAATTTTGTTTATTTTTATAAAACGATAAAACGTATGATTCAGGGAGGCAACTCTACCGAACTGTACAAACATCAAATCACGGTGAATGCGGATCGTTGGACGGTCACCGATTCGGAAAGCATTCCAACTGGCGAAATTCAATCGGTTGAGAATACAATCATGAATTTGAGAACTTTGACTATGTTGGGAGATGTCATCGACAAAGTGCCGCGTGGCGGTTACGATGATAATTTTTGTTTACCGATGAACACTGTGAATGAGACACAGTTTGTCGCTAAAGCCATACACCCATCATCCGGAAGGTATTTGGAGGTTTATTCCAATCAACCTGGTGTACAATTTTACACTGCAAATTTCCTACCCCATCAAGATGACATAGGTATTGTAGGAAAGAATGGAACCGAATATTTTAAGCATGGAGCATTCTGTTTAGAAACACAGAATTATCCAGATGCTGTCAATCATGTAAGTATATCGATATATTGTTTCTTGCTTGAACAGTGTTAAATATCTTCCTTGAAATTTAGCAGAGATCTATGGTTACATTGTCTCAATGTTTTTTTTTTAACTTTTGCAGGAAAACTTTCCAAATAGTATACTTGAACCTGGGGAACACTATCGCCATATTGTTATTTATAAATTTGGTGTACTAATCTAGACAACCTATGCATATTCTTGCATACTAACTTGACACTGAGTTTTGCACCAACTATATTGTAATAACTTGATGTAATCTACATTAACCTACGACAAAGGTTAAAATAAAATTTATATAATGTTATCTTGTCTTAAACTGTGCCTCGAAACAATTACATGGATAATGAGGGGGGTAAATTAATTTCCAACGGTCGGTGTCCTTTTTTGCCTGGTGTAGAATCTATGTCCTCCAATAGCCTTTCATCGCGTTGCTGTTTTACTGGCATAGCCATGGGTGTATAACGATCAGATAACCATCCTTCGATATGATACCCAATAAAGCCAATAACACAAACAATAGGGAGTTGTATTTTAGTGCCATATCTACCTAAAACTCTACCCAAGAGTTGCCACATTGTCTGAAATCAAAGTATGACGAAAACTTATTTCACTCTTCTTTCATAATTATTTGTCTAGCTAAGATCAGAAACAGTAATAAAGCATCCATATTAAATTTATAACCGAATTTAATGTCTGAGTCTGTTTTTTTTTAATACTTTCGTTTCCTACGTCCTTGAATTTTATTTCGCATTCCACAGAAATAATCGCGTATGAAATCCAACACGATTGCACGGAAGGTAGGTTATAATAAGTTCACATAACGTAAAAACAAAGAATCGCGTACCTTTGTGAATACGTAGCAATTCTGAATTTCTATCGCCGTTTAAATAATATGTTCCGTACTTACATAAGCTGTTTTAAGTGTTTTCACAAAATACTTATCTACAAGATATACTCATATATCGGCGATTTCATTTGAAAATATAGCACGCTAGTAATTAGAACGCCAATTCATGAGAAATACAAATTAATGGTATAACTCCAGTTTAAGCGTTTTCTCATTTATATTTTTAATTGCAGTAAATAACACATAACACACTCACAAAGTAATAGACAGGCGCGATACTTCTGTCGAATTGTTTGATGTTCGAACTTCGAACCAACAGCTGCATACCATAGACAAGGTACACGAATAGACCTTAAACCTTATGGAGCTTCGTAGCCCAAACTGACTGCGATACAGATTTGAAAACTCGGAAGTTAAACAACATTTCCGTACAGCGTCAAACAAATTTATTAAAAATGAAAGACAAATATTAAAGAAAAGTCGACAGGAGGTACCTGCTGAAATTATACGGCGAAAAAATGTTTCAAATCGTTCTGGAAAAATTATTTTCGGTTGAGGGAATCAATTACAAGAATTTTTGGTGAACAGACATACCCCCCAAATACTACCCATTTTTGAGAAAAAAATTCGAGTAGGTGGACAAATATTACGACAAAATTAAAAAATTTCAAATCATTCTGGAAAAATTATATTCGGTTGCGGGGGTCAATTACAATCAGTTTTGGTGAATACATATACTCCCGAAATCCTACGCACTTTCGAGAAAAAAATTCTTTTCCGAAAATATAATCTGAGGCCTGCAATGATTCCCCGAAATTTTTGGTGGAGAATATGTAGAAATTCTAAAAATATTCGAAAAGTTATTCCTTGATCCCATAAAGTGAGAAAAACTCCCTAAAAATGGTCCAATTTTCAAACAGCCATAACTCCTATAACAGTGAATATATTTCATTGAAACTTTTTTCTGAAGTAGAGCTCATAGGTACCTATAAAAAAGTATTAGACAACTTTTCTGTACGGCGTCAAACAAAAGTACTAAATATCAAAAACGAATTTTTAAGACAAATCGACAGGGGGTAGATGCCTAAATTTTTCGGCGAAAAAAAAATTTCGAATCGCTTTGAAAAAATTATTTTTAGCTGCGGGGATCGATTACAATCATTTTTGGTGAATAGACACCCCCTTGAAATCCTACGCACTTTCAAGAAAAAAATTATTTTAGGTTACAGGACTTAGTTCACTGATGGATGGTAGGGAATCAATAAACATTGAAAAACAAACTGATTTGGTCACAGAGGAAATACTTAGAGGTTCAAAACAACGTTACAAGATTATTTACATGGAATGGTTGCAAGTGTTGATCCCTTGGTCTGCCTGCTAACTCCCGATTACTCGGGCCACAAGGGGTTAAAGACATCTTAACGCTAAAATGAACATTTCTGACGAAAACTAGCGCGTTCCAATCCCCTTGCAATGAAGTTCTTTTAATGGCTTTATACATTTTGTGAATAAGTCAGTCCTATTTGTTCGTATTATAATGCAATATAATGTTCTTTAATGGCAAAATCTCATTTCATTTAATTCAAATCATTGGAAATCAAAAATGGAAACTGTGATTGATTTTGATTTTTGAGCTTTAAATGACATTCCATGAAGGTCCAATAAATTCATTTTGTGCGTAGATGTCGGTAGCCGGGAAAAATGATCAGTTTCAATACAAAATTCTGCTAGTATATTCTTTCTCATCAGGAACTTAGTTTTGTTCCTAATAGCTGTGGTCTTAAATTACGTTCAATTTTTTTTTGTTGCTGCTCAAACAATCGTTGTTCTCGTTCTCTTCGTTTTTGTTCTCTTAATGTTCTTGTAGTATCTCCGAACTCTTTTGATGTTTCTTCTTCCCAGCCAGCAGTATTATCTTCCCACTCTCCAAGTTCATTCTGTACGAATATTAAATTTGTCTTTTACATCAGAAATAGTTATAGTGTTCCATGATAGAATCCAGTAGGCAATAATATTATTTTCAAATAGTACAGTGTATTATGTAATATTGTAATAGCATATATAACATGTACAAACTTACAGATGGTATAAGAACATCGGCAACAGCAAACTTCGAAGCATTCCATGATGCATTATCCGATGCCTTGTCTTTAACTAGAACTTTTGTCTGCATGGTGATTTTTGGTGTCATGTTCTATGGCAAATATGAAAGATCACGCGTGTATAACTTGATTTCCTTCTTAAAGTTGATATGAATAATTACCTCAAAGAAATTTGGTTGTTGCTCCTCCGTCAGTTCCAATGATTTAGATGCTTGCTGTCTGTATTGATCGATTTTAGCCTGTATTGTATTAACTGGCCTATCTGGTACGACCACAACAGGATTTTCCTCCCACTGATCCCACTGCTCTGATTCCTTGAGCAAGCATCTTCAGTGATTACTATTATCGGAGTCAGTGGTACAATAGGGTTTACACAATCTTAAAATCTTTGTGAATTATCGAATCGAAAAGTTAAATGTCGCATTTGAGACTCACTGTTGTGTTCAATGTGTTTGGTACAACACCAACTGCAGAGAGTGGAATGGAATCGCAGGATGACCTACGTCGACGACGAAGACAGCACATTGCTCGTCTGAATACGCTCAGAAGAAGTACGACAAGAGCTTTCACGCGGTTCACTATAAATTCAACTGCCATCGTAAATTACCGATAGAAACCTAACCTTGTCCTCAGTGGCTAACAAACTTTGTTTTCTAATGTGAGAAATTGAGACTGGTCAAATGCCATTTTGTGCAGAAATGCCCAAAACGAAGTGGTTTTGCTTTCGTGCCGTTTTGTTTCACGTGTAAACACTAATAATACTTTTCGCTCGGGTTGCAATTCTAGCCTAATAATAAAAAGGTTACGGAGAAATATCGATTAAAGTTACTCCGTCGGTTGTCGGCTCTCTCAACAGGTTGTAATCACTACTAACAAAAATTCGTTTGTCTCGTAAAGATATCAGTGGATATGTAGCAGCAGAGGCGAGATATAGGATAGAATTTGGTAAAAAAAAAAACCTCCAAAAGGAAATTTATCAACGGGAGTAAATACGGTATAACTGTAATACAGACAATTTCTTATCGCAGTACTTTTATTTCACAGACGTAATATTTAATCTACGCATTTATGTGCGTACGCATTTTTCCCGCTTTGTCTTTCGATCGAATTGACATTTTTGATACGGTCCGCATTTTACGCCCGCACAGTAAACGCCTTCTGAAATTCAAGAAGTTTCCTGTAGCTTTAAATTCGAATTTTGTATTATATTAGGAACAGGTTTATATGCGCAGAACTTGTGACAAAGTATGTCAATTTCCTTACCAGTCTCCGACCCTTTGTAACCATTACCAGAACTGACAGGACTGGCTTCTACGCACGACTCGCCTCCGCATTTATTTGGGCAGCATTTTTCATTTGCGGAACATTGATAATCGGTCACGCATCTAGGAGTGCACTTTGACACACTGTTTCTCAGTGGGCAGTGTCCACCTTTGCCTAAATTAATATACTATCATTGAACCACGAGCGACGAACTCGGTACATAATTTTTTATCGATATTCGCCCGTTTCTCTGGAAACAATTACGCATTCGAGCGATTGACTTACTAGATAGCTGAGCGACCACTGCGGTGATCAGCAAACAGACCACAAGCGACAGAATTGTTCCTTTCTCTGCGACACAAAACGATTCGTTAATTGCGAAGCGTTGCTACGAAATTATCGAAATAAAAATAATTTTGAAAAAATAAAAAAACAATCTTTCTTTATTATATTTGGTTTAAAAAAAAAGAGATTCTTATTTACGATTTACGTATTCGACAGAGACAAACAGTTATTTAAAAATATTTCACGATCGTTTTTGCAGAAACACGTACTAATCATTTTCGATTTAACGTTAGTCCGTTTATCACCGATTTTGTTCACCTTCCAGCGCAACTACCACTTTCCACGTTTGTTTCAGTTCGCGGATGAATCACGTCTAATCGATGCACGATAAGAACTCAGCTTTTTAAATCCGTCTGTCTCTCTTTCTCGTTTCCACCTCCATTTTCAGGGCGGCGAAAGGATATTCCCGCTGCAGAACACACAGGAAACCAAACGACTGGTTGATTCAATCATTTTTCCGGACACCATACCGCCTCGTGCGTACTTTAGCGACCGTTATTGACATCTTTTCTTGACCTATGACTCAAACGGATATTCGGGGAATTACGTACTTGGGTATTTCAGTTAGATCTGTGGATTGAAGTCGCCAATGATTCATACTGTCCTCAAGTTTCAGTACTGCACCGTGACTGATGCAAATTGTCATTTATGTCGAGATGGTTTCTAAGTAGGGACGAGATCAAGACCAATATGTATTCATGAATCCCCGAGTCAGTTTCAATAACCAAAGTTCGCTTCAAGAATTCGACTACTACTCATAGGGAACCACGTTTCATTTGTAGTAAAAATACTTGGTTCATTTTTATAATCAATTCCATCGAAACGACACAAGTACGTAGAATTATATTAAATCTTAAGAAAGATAATCTTTCTTTCAACATCGTTTTATGGCGATCATCCGCGATTTATCTGGAAGATTTTCGAGAGATTAAAACGATTCATCTTCTCGTCGCGTATACGATTTATCCCTTTTTGAATCTGCACGTGTCGCTGTATTCTTCAAGTTTCTATGCAAATGAGGTTCAATAGGTTAATTACGCAATATGTCACGTAAGCCTGTTTGCCAATAAAAATTGTTTCTACGAAGGAGCCTTTACGTATATTTATAAAATACGAAAAACGAGAAAATTAACAAAATTTACACGATATAATTTATTATTAAAAATTAGTTTCAGATTAGTCATATTATCGGTAAGGGTACGAAAGAATTAAAAGTAGGGGAATATGGCACGAGTTCAGAACTTGCGTCAACATGGCAGTCGTTGAAGACCAAACAAACATCGATCCTATCGAGTAACGATCTATAATTGTTCTATTCATTATTGTAGAAATAAAACGGATAGTAGTCCCTGGGAACGTCGTAAGGATTCCTGGGCGGGGTGTAAGGATTCCTAGGAACGTTGTAAGGATTTCTTGGGACGTTGTAAGGATCTTCCGGAAGCGGAACAACCGGAATATCCACGGATTCGACCACCTCGACGTCCGGTTTCTGGCATGCTAGGGCGCCGCAGCGATTTTTACAGCACTTCAGCGTTCCTCTGCAATCGTTGTCGACGCTGCAGGTCGGCGAACACACCCACCTTCCTCTCGGTACCGCTGGACAAGAGCCCGGTTTCTCTGAATCCGAAAAATTAAAATATAATTATAATAGAACCTAGTTCTCGTACAATCAGGGTTCTATTGTAACTGTTTCGGTATTTTAAATCAATCGGTTGCTCACCGGCCGAAACTGGTTGTCTCATGGTGACAGGTTTCGAGCAGACGGTTCCTCCGCAATTTGTCGAACAACATTTGCCTATTCCCTCGCAATGCGAATCGGAGAAACAGGACTGACTGCAGATCTGGACAGGCAGAGCCGGCGGGCAGGAACCTGGCTTCTCAGCAAACGGTTCGTATCTAGAAGCATTCCGTTAATTTTAGAGAAATTTTAGTCTAGACGGTTCGTATCCGTAAACGAAGCAAAATGTACCTGGATTGGCCGACAGCGGCGGCTAATGCTAGCGTCAGCACAAACGCTGCTGCAAGCAATTTCATTCTTCGATCGATTTTCGAATATCCACAGGAAACTGATACACACTCCCGGTACCGCTGGAAGCGAAACCAATCGATGCTTCACTGCACAAAACGAAGCTCTCAACTGTTCGTAACGAGATGTCACCAAAAGGTTGTCTTGCTTGAATGTAACCGACGACACCACGAAGAAGGTCTGTTCTCACTTTACCAAAGGTAGAGAAATTGCTCTCCTATATAGGATCGATCCCCCACTTGGACGATCGGGCGTGCGAAACACGTGGTCAATGCGCGGATCAGAGACCTCAGACTAGGGATCGCAGGTTCTGCCTCGGATGTCGAACCGCAGAGGCAATTAGTCAGGAAAATCCAATTAACAAGAAATCTCAATTGAGCGGAAGGTCGATAAGGAGTGGGAAAGGAATGAACGGTCGACCGGAGTCTAGACGATTTCCGGATCCCTCTGTCGGGACGTCCTATTCTGTTTTATCGTAACGCAAACCCTAGATCCACCGTAGAACGATTGAATTTCAGTGACTTTGGATGGAGATTCTTTTAAAGAAATTTTACTTAAACCATAGAAATTTCAATGACTGTACCTCTTTGGAACACTTTGACGCAACGGAATCACGGGCTGTCTGCCAAAAATAAGCGTGTCCTTCGGGTCCGTTTTGTTAGTCACCAACGCGAAGCTTTCGAGGACTTGAGAACGATTGGTTTTTCCTGCTAGTGATGCGAATGCTACGCGAGACGCTACAATACTGACGATGAATACACAATCGTATGATTTATTCAATAATGCAAACGAAAGTGACGTCATATATTGTTTAATAAACGTTCGTGCTTTCTCCGTTTCATAGTGCATTTCCTCCAATAACAATTGCCTGCCTTAAAAGTAATTTCTATATTAAAATCAAGCCAGGAATCTCCTACGTTCGCCGATGGACATCAGAATTGACGAAAATGTTGCTCGACGATGTTTCTTCTCACGGTTTTCGAAATTTACATAATCCACTAGAGTTTGTTGCATAATTCTTTGAAGCACACAATTTCCGAGGACGACCGGTTTCTGACGAGAACCAGGCAGTTCGTTTCTACGATTCGAGCTACGATTCCTAAAAGCAGTTAACAACCCTTAGAATATCTCCTAAAAAAAATGATTAATTAGATTGTTTTTTGTTGGATATGATCGGTGCACGATCAATGGTTTTTCATGTTTTCTTCTTTATTGCTGTAAACATAAATATAAAAAATGGATCCCGCAGACCCGGTAGAAAAAATTACGTGTAGCATAACGCGTTACAATTACGATTATAAAACGATAAATGCATTCTTGGTACTTGCAGCACATTCTGTGCGACAACTGTTGCCGAGAATTCGACGCCTGTACAGAGTATCATTTATTCTAACGACAGCAACGCGTGCAATTAATTGCGCGATGATTTAACGCTATTCTTCTAACGATAATTATTACCACGCGCGTCAAACTTGTCGCATTGGTTCCGCTTAATTTTAAGACACGACGATGTTGATAATAGATTACAATAGTTATTAGCGATTAAGATAAAGAGTAGGATAGAGAAACGCATATTTACAAATTCCATTTTGGCATTCCGCCAAAACGATGAAACTTTGATTTGGCGCTCGCTAGCATTGTATTCGCTGTTGGATCGAGATCCGAATTAATTAATTAATATACAACTTAACGGTGTAATTAAGGAGCCTCGAATGCATCTTAACCTGTGCTTTCCTATATTTCATACTTACATTTAACGCCATTTTCTAAAATAGATATCGATCGAACGTTCGGATGCAAATGAAATTCGCATCTCTTAATTATTCTTCTACAGTTTCTCGAAACGAGCGTAGAGACTTTTAAACTTTAAATCTATTTTCTTTCGAACTTCGTAGTTCGCGGTACTTTGAATAAATACGCATATACTCAAAGTAAGAGGAAATGTTAAACGATTATGTTCAAGAGACTCGAAGTTGTTTAAGGATCGTCGAATCCATGAATTGTAAAACGGATGCAAATATTTTTGCGACAAAAGGAATTCGCAGAAGCCTCCATCAAACCACTCGAAACATCTTTAGATTTATTTAAGCTAGAATAATCCATGAAAACGATAAAGCACGTAGGGTCTCCTAATTTTCATCTACGCCTCAATCGTCGCAAATATTTATTTGTTTAACTGATGTGCCACGAATATTATTACTAACGCATTCGAGGCAATTTTAGAATAATAACGAGTAAAATTATCGTAGAATCCTACCTAACGCGCGGTTGCATATTAACATAACAAAAGAAGAAAACGTATAGATTAAGTCGCATCTCCTTGAGTTTCTCGAACAGATAAAAGGAAACAAAAACTAATGTACACGGGAGGCACAAGTATAAAGAAATTGAGCCGTGCGCAGAATTAATTGTATGGCCTTCCTCTATTAACTGTCGCTTTAATACGAACAATTTACATTTAAATACGCTACTAATACTAACGTTTACGAAGAACACTGACGTCGTTCGATCATTTTAATTTACGTTCGAATATTTTCGCCAACGAAAAAAGAACAATCGTCGAAGGCGCGTTTGCGATCGACCCGTCGTTTATGTCGTGGACAAAACGAGGAGGAATTATTGTCTACTTCTTCGTGGACGCTGCAACAAAATAATTAACAAAATAATATAAAATTACTGCGTTTATTCCATAACAACGAGTATCATTATGTACCGCAATAATTAAATAAAAAAATAAAACTTTTAACGTGTAAAAGAAGGACGTATATTTTCTCTCATTTTTAGTTTTAGTTTCCGTACTTCCGTTTTTCTGTTTGATGCAATTTGAATGGATTCTATAAGAATATCAAGGAGTCGGAAAACAACCCCCGTCGAAGCGAGAGGTTGGATCGAAGAGATTGCTAAAGTTAAAGAAACTTGCCGTTTAAAGCCGCTTCAAGAAGGTTTCGAGAAGCAATACCGATGAAAGCCCGATTAAGTAACCAACCTTCGTGAATTCCCCGAGTAAAAGGGAACTGAGAGTGATTAGCACGAGAGGAATGTCAATTTGCGACGTGGACTTTGAAAGAATCTTTTGAATCACCCGGCTCGGACCCAGCTACTTAAGGACTTGCTTCTTTCAACGATTTTCCGAGTACGCTGAAAGCGTTCACCACGAATCACAAGAGGAGAACGATCTTTTTGTAATCGTCAACGGGATCTCGAGGGGATTTTAATGGCCTCGGTTCCAGAGCATCGAAAGAACCGCTTAATATAATATAATTGCGTTCCTCGAACAACGCTGGAGTATCCGCGTCTCAGAATGATGCAACGATTTCGGAATTACGTTACACCGTGCTACGAGAGTACTATATTTTCTGAGTCTTTCTAAATATGTATAAAAAAAGTTTACTCACGTCGCGGGGGCACGGGAGGCGCAGGCGTTTTCTTAGCGGCGGCGATCTTGAAATCCTGAGAGACGTCGACGTTCATGTAGTCCGGCATTTTGCTGCTGTCAGTCACGTCCACGTCGCGGCAGTTCACCAGGTCCGTTTCCACGTACTCCTCGCTGCCCTTGCTCGCGATGTTATTGACGATTTGACCCTGACCGTCGGCGAGGTCCTGCGTTTCCTCCGATCGAGCAGGCGTCTCGACTTTGGCCGAGTTTTTCGAGGATTCCGAAGCCGGTGCAGAGTCGGCCGGGTGACCGTGAACGTGTTCCCGGAACGTGGTTACGGAGGCGGGCGTCACGTTCACGTAATTCGTGGGAATGCACATTCCAGGAGGCGGCACGGGCGTTGAATTGAACGCGGTCGGGTCGATGTTGGCGTAACTGTTCCCCGGATGCCTGGGCACGTCCGGTTCCGGGGTGTCAGCGATCGCGGGGGCCGAGTTCTGAATCATGTCCAGGTACTTGGGATGGTCGCACGGTGAGCTCGGTGTCTTTGGTTCTTTCAGCGAGCCTTCCGTTTTGAAAGCTGTAACGGATCGTAACATTACTTCGTTCTATAACTGTTATTTTCGGATAGCAAATATTATAAAATGCATTTACAGTGAACGGGCAACCCCGAGGGTGGAAAGGCGATGTAATACTCGGTGTCCTCGGCCCTCGAGGGTGGCTGCGACGGTCTTAGATCGAGATCATTTCCGGTCGAGGAACGAGGCGATGGGGAATACCTGAGCGCCGGCGAATACCTACCCGTGAATGGTTTCGGAGCAGGTGGTACTTCGTAGGACATTACGCCTGGCTTGTCCTCCCTTGCGTTTTGAAGCTGAAACGATTTCGAATTTCATGGTTTCACGCGGTCGTAATATTAATGTAACGGAATCTAAAGACAGTTCGATGCGTACTCTTCTGTCTTCGGTGTCGGAGTGGGTTCCACTGTCGCCTAGACTGGTCCCGCTGCATCCACTTGCAGTACTCATTCTACCGGACGAAGACGAACCTAAGAAAACGAAAATATAGACTTTGAACAATGCTCACCTACGATTGTTTATATGTAAAACTGAACTATCGAGGTTCTTACTCGAAACGCTTCGAAGACTCAGGCTACTGACTGGTCGACGATCCGCCAATCCACCGTTAACGTTTTCTGGTTTGCTAGCCGTGGATGAATCGTCGCTTCCGTTCGCGGAGTCCTTGGTATCTATACGAACAAAAAATCAATTTCATAAGCGAACCTATTGATCGAAGATGGCGTGGAGCAGTTTATAAGAGATATTCACCTTTCTTCCCTTTCGAGAAGAATTTTCGGATCCTGTCGAAAGGAGTAGGCGCCTTCATTTCATCTTTGATCCTTCTCTGTATCCTTTCGTATTCCTCCCTCATCGCCGTGAGCTGTCTCTGCTTGTCCTTGAAGCTCTGCTGGACATCGTTGCGGTTCCTCCAGTTCTCCACGAGCCTCTCGACCTCGGTAATCGTGAACACGTTGTTCTTGAAGTCGTTTATGATCTCTAGAAGCTCGTCCTGGGGGCCCGAAGGCTCCCTCGACTTCGTGCTGGAATTGGACGTTGCTCTGCCATACGCGCACGACGATTGACTGTTCTCCTCTCGAGCAGAAATCGGGTGCTCATGACGATTCTGCGTGGGTGTCGCCGTTCTGGATGGCTGCTGACTCGTTACGTTTGACGTGGGTGTTTTTGGCCCTTGAACGTTCAAATTTCGGACACTCGAATTATACACTCGTCAATTTTATGTACTCGCTATCGTTGAAATTTGTTCGTGGGTCGAGTGTATATTTCTGATAGCAGATCACCTACCGGCTGGATGCATTTTCATGTAACCTTGAAGAGGCAGCTCAAGGCCGTTCGGGGCGGTTGTCGTAGTCGTAGGAGTTGATGGAGTGACAACGACAGGAGTCGGTGCTGGTACGATGGAGTAATTTGCTTCAATGGGGTTACTGGTGGTCGGACTAGGGGTTACTGGTAATTGGCCTGGCAAGATTAAAGACGTTATTGGTCTTGCGGCTGGTGGCACCGAATAAGCTTCGCTCAAAGGTCGTGGACGACAATAATCTTCCTTATCGTTATTGGTGTCGCTCGTCGTGTTTGTCGATGATGAGTCCGCGTCTAAAAATCGTTCGAATCTCGTCGTATTATCTCGTCAGGCACTAACGTATAATGCTTGAACCGACTGTAGAATACATCGAATCGTAAAATCGTATAACGATAAAACATTGCGTGCATCACGAATATATATATTTATGCTCACTTGTCGCATGATCTGCCGTTGTCTCGCTTATAACTTTCAGGTAGCTGTACATGTTTGTGAACTCGTTCATTTGCTGCGAACCCGCGGATGAGGATTCAAGGGGACGCCCGAAACATGCAACGCAAAAGCAAAATATCAGTTAGTTCGCTGAAAATCCTCCGAACGATCATTGCAAAACCTTCGTAAACTAATTGTTTGATACGAATATGAATGTCAAGGGCATAGGAGCGTGTGAAATTTTATTATTGCAAGCGGAAAATTATTCGATCCTCCAAGTGGTTTGTTATAAATATAGAAAAAGAGTAATATCGCGGAAGTACCGATTCCGCTGGACTAACTGTGACGTTGCTTTAAAGGTGATGTTTTTGTACCATGTAGCCACGAAGCTGATGCGCCAGTCTCGCGTGCCCTGCTTGTTCCGCGAGATCTGCCGGGGTCAGTTCCGCCACGTTCCTCAGGTCACACGCTATGTCGCCGCCTGGGCACTCGAGCAACTGCCACGCTAATCTCTCCAGGCCGAAACGAGCAGCGAAGTGCAGCAACGTCGGATTCTCCTCGGGACCTGAATCAACCAAAGCCTCGATCAACTTCACTTCTTCTATTGCATCAGTTTCGTTACTCTACTCCACGAGACATTTCATTATTCAAAGGCTGAAGGTGGTTTACAATTATATCAAAATAAATTCTTACCGACGAGCCTTCCTAACGACGCAGCAAATGCAGCGAACAATTATTTAAACAGAAACGGTTTAGGAAGCGAAGTCTATCTGTTTTCCTATTTTACTCACTCGAGTGAACTTTTTGCGCCGATACAACCCCGCTGGGCGTGGAGAGGAGATTGAAGTGCGGCGGGACGTTTCGTTGAAACGCGTGTACCATCCAGTTGTCCAACTGTTCGCGATCGCCAGGATTGAATCCAAAGGTCTGTAAACAGATTTCATCGATTGCATCTTATCCGGTTGGATGTCTTTATCGATCCTTACCTGGCACATGTACTCGAGAGGATTGTCGTGAGCCCTGAGAATCTGATCCAATTCCCGGAGTCTGCTTTCGCATTTGACCTGCCTGACACCGAGGGGACAACCGTTCCTGGATATTCTGACGCCGACCAGCATCGACACTTCCAGGCACCTCTCGGGAATAGAGAACTGCAGGGCGTAGGGATTTCTTCTTTTCACGTGGGCGATGTCGATCGCCTCTCCGCAGCGATCCACGATCACCGAGACATTGTCCTCGGGATGCAAGGGATCGTTCAGCAAGGCGATTATTCTGTTGTGGCCCTGAAACGATTATGTTTAGGTAATTTTCCCCGCGATATCGTGACGTCTAGACGTTCGAGTCGTTTTCTAATCCAGCATACCAGCTTAACTTTCTTCGGGTGCACCGAAAACGAGGTCTTGTCGCTCCTTAAAGCGGGGGGTGGCGTTGTCCCGAGGATGCCGACCGCTGCGCCCAACAACTCGCCGACGAACGTCTCGTCCTGGTCTTTCACGAAGAACTTCCTCCACTGATTGTACGACATCAGAATCGACTTGTGGGCATCGTTGATGTGGCTGTCGTGGACGCCCAGCATCATAGCCAATACCTTCTCGGCTACCAGGTGCCTGGAGAGATTCATCGCGTGTTCCGGGCGACTCTGAACGCGCTCCAAGAGAACGGGACAAACGACCACGACCTGCAAACGGGCCGATCTGATCCGGTCCTCCGTGCCCGACGGGATCGTTTCTTCGATCGTGATATGACGAACTCTGAAACGCGAACCTGCAGTTTAGGGAATGGGATGGTAGATAATCGACGACGTTCTATTGTGTTAGAACACACTGAGCGTTCTGTCCACGAAGCTGGTCGTCGACGCGTTAATAAAGATGTAATTACTTGAATGGCGGCCGGCCCTGCTGCCTGCTAATCTGTTCGAAACACGCAGTGAGATAGTTGACCCACAAACTCGAAATTTCGCTGTCCTTGCTGGACACGAAGAGCACATCGTCTTCGGGGTGCGACTCGACCTTGGACAGCCCCGTTGCCGAACGGGACCCTGAAAAATTCCATTTCCAATCAGCCAAAGGTTCGATAACAAACGACCCTCTAATATCGATCTAATTTTTGTTTAGTCGACGAAGGTTTAATCAACGACGCGGTTTATTTCCGCGAGCTATTAACGTATTACCGCGGAGACACACCTTGCTTTAGTTTGCCACCTCCCTCGTACCTCGCACGCGAGAACAGCAGCGTTCAATTTCATTTAATGCGACACGAGACACACGAGAACGCCCTTTCCCGGCGAGGTTAATAAAATAATGGCCCCCTAATGCGTTTGTTCCTCGTTATTCGAGAAAACGGTATCACGGAGATGTCTGAATACACGCGAGGGAACACGGAAAGCCAAACGTCGAAGAGGACTCGTTGGAAGCCAATGCCAGGATAATATTGCTGCCCTTGTTAAATCGAATCAATTGCTCGTTAATTAACGCACCGCGGATTGCAAGAATGGTCCGCGGAGGAGAAAATTTGTTCTCGCGTCGAAAAAGTATGAGATTTTCGATAACCTTGAATGCTACGCGAAGCCGTGAATGCACCAAACCAAGACGCTTAGATAAGCGTCTGAATGCAGCCAGGACCGCTCGCAAGTTTATCGAGCGTACAATGGTATAACTAATGGGGTCGTTCGTTTTCCATAACCGCGGTCTTTCTCGCACAACGGAGCTTTTGTGCCGGCGATATCGATATCTACCAGCAGCCGACTGGAAACACCGAGGTTCACGATCTCCGCAGCCCAAAATAACCGGAAAGAGTCACACTTCCCCCCTCCCCCCTCATTACAATAAACTCTCCATTATCAGCCACCGTTTAAGAAACTCCTCGAAATTGTGCCTTTCTTAGTAGTTCGATAAAGTATATTACAAAAAAATATTTCTTAGTAACGTTTTCGTCTCAATGTAGGCGAATAAATAGGTGTGACGTTAATGTGATAAATAACGTTAGATGCACAGCGTGTAGAGGTTGAATTTCTAGTAGAATTATAGGAGAGTTAAAAGGTTCATGATCTCCCCGGGGTACGCGGGTCCAAAAATAACCGGGAACGGGGTAAACTTTCATTTTCTCCCTTGATTCTGTACGTCCACTGTTTTCCGTGAAAACCGCGGATAAATAAACGCGCTGTTAAGAATAGAGGAAGACTATAGTCGGCGAGAAGGGTTCGTTTCCGGGTTCGTAACACGTGGTTTCCATCCGAAACGCACAGGGACCGAAACGTTTAAAGTTTTTACACCGTTCTTCATCGATCACTGGAAACCAAACTTCGTACTACCAACGGAAGGAAAATAAGTTTTGTTCGAAAAAAATCTGAACAGATTGGAGTTTTAGTTAAGCTCCTGTAAATTTCTATCTAAACGGACGATCGACGATCAGAAAATCTTCCTTTCCGTACTTGGGTTCCGTAGTCGCCATGGCGACGGCTCCTGCGTTTGCTACGTGACGCGTGTGGCTTCCGTTTTCGGCGCATCCGGTCTTATACCGAATTAATAGTCGCGAACGACTCAAGCCGCGACCCGTTATCCGTACTCTTCGTAACACGATTCTCGTCCCGTTGACAGGAAACGCAACGGCGATTCATTTTTCACAAAATAATTTCACGATTTTCCCTGTACGATTCCTCAGTGCCTTCGCGGAATTTTAATTTAATCGTTACGCGTACGTATGAACTTGTCAACGTTTAACAACATTTAAAAACATCGTAAAGATGTTCGTTCCATGGTGCAAAAAGAAGTTGTTCGCGTCCGTTTGAAAGAAGCCGGGTTAATAAAATACCACGAGTATAGGCTCGGTTCGTATTACGGGACGCAGGGGCACGAGGGAAAAGCAAGTAGAAAGAAATGTACATAAATAACGAATAAAACGAGACACTCACGGGTGATGTTGGACAAATCCAAAAAGGTTGGCCGGTTCCGTCGTCGCGAACGAGGCGTTTCGCACGTGTTAGCCATATTTTTCTGGGGGACAAACTTTTCGACCATTTCGCGCATCGTTTTTTCCGTCGAAATTTATACGCGCGTTAGCACTTTGAAAATCCGCACGGCCGTACCCTAAGAACGATCCGCGTTTCCTTTCATCGTCGCCAAAAAGGTAAGTCCACCGGTCGGGTTAAACGACACCTTCGATCGATCGTCGTCGACTGACCGGGGCTCGATCGGATCGATCGCCGATTCGATATAACTGAACGCGGAATGCCCATCGTCGAATTCGAAACGCCCCACCACCGACGCTCGCGTCATTGTTTTCACGCACAGACTCAGAAATCGGACGATGCCCATAATTAAGTTGGACGAGACTCGAATTTTAATTGCCGACCCGTCCTGGACTCCGTTTCATTTGGATTCGTTCGCTCGTGAATGCCGAGGACGCGTCGCGTCGTCGCGACGAGAGGTGTCGTGATATTTTTTTGCAACTGGCCACAGTGGTGAAAATACAACGCTATGTAGTAATTTTGCGTTTTTACCCATTAAACATTTATATTTATTTTTGGAATTATATTACAGAAAAGATGTTGCACAAGAAACAATTTCTTGTACCCTAAAATTTCGGTCCAATAGCAATAAGAAATGTGTCCAGTGTGACTGTGACTGGAAAATGTATGTCTGAACGCTGTTAACTAGAAAATATGTGAGAAAAATATGATAAACCGGGAAGATTAGTGGCAAGCGATTCGAAAGGGAAGAAGAGGCTAGGATGGTGCAAAGATGGTGGTAGCTGGGCCCCATTTGTATTCGGCGCGGTGCAACAGACCCCGCATACGATTAGCATACTGCATATCCTGCACATCGAGTGCATCAGGACGACAACGCGCTTTCGAATGCACGAAAATGTCTCTGTCGTGGAATTCTCGAAGGACGCTTTATAAATAATCCTCGCTGTTTCATCCCCCCCGTGTACAGTTGTTCTTTTATTTAAATTTCGGTGTTCGAATAATCGTTCTCAATACTAATCCGATCGATACGTTTATCTATACATTTTTCAACGACGCTGCCGCGATACGTCACCTATTCATTAAAATTTTTAATCCTCCCATTGTTGCGCACCGATCTCAGATATATTTTAATCCGTCCTTAAAACGATATATGGAACACTGGAGCACATTTGTAAACAATGCGCTCTCCGATTTAGTCCGATTGGAATTTCGCTCGATCGAGCGGCGATTAATTAATTTTTTACTGATTTGGATTAATAGGTTTAATAATTGTAAACTTTAAATACATACATGCAATAATTATTACTATACACGAACTTACTATTATTAAACTCTATATAGATATTAAATAAAAAGGGAATATTACCGAAATATTCGAGGCTTCGTTTCGCATAGTGGTTCTCCTCCTTAATCTTCATTTTTGTGAGTATTCGTCACTGAAATTACCAATCTCCGCGATCGTTGGATCTCAGCACGAACATTTCGCGAAAACTATCCTGCACTTAGGGCAAAATTTACTCTTCAAAGCGGTCGTGAATGTTGAACGACGCGGTGAAGGTTCGCGATGACGAGATACCGAAGTAGGAAAGGATCTTTTAACGAGGAGGAGAAGAGTCGGTGCAACGGTAAAAAAATGTTAAAAACAACGTCCGGCTGGAGCGCGGCGCGCCTCGTCACTGAACATCTCGAGGGTTGTTTCGGAAGATGCGTTCGGGGAACTCGGTGCATCACGCGCATGCGCCGTCGCGTACGCGGTGATCTGCGCAGATGCGGCGTTCAAATATTTTGGGAATCCACGTGTTCGCGGCAGACGCGGCGTGAGAATCGTCGCACGCGACACGAAAACATAAGGGACCTTTGCGCGTATGGTTTCCAATTATGCGAAACGCATTGCATTCGAAACCGCGTGAAATCAGTTCGATCATCTGCTTCGAATAGCAAGGTAAAATTTACATACGCTTAAAAATCATTATCTCGATTATAATGCAAGAAATTGAAGATAGCACGAGCGTTATCTTTTTGTCTAAGAGTATAACTCGCTGCTTCATACATGAAAGATGAACCGTTCCGTAGAATGGGCCGAAAGAAACGAGAAACCGTGAACGTAGCATTTAGTTCTTTGGCTGATTTTTTTTTGCCCCGCTTTATCGTTATTATCATGGACATTTTATACACGGCTTCTTCGCCGTATTAGATGCTCGATAACTTTAGAATTTCAGGGGCAACGATTCTCGAAAGATTCTCATCGACGTCCAATTAGTTAAAAATAACGAGCGATGCCCGATACGGTTAATTCATAAACTCGTTGAAAATCGCCGAGCGGGTATTTGAACCGTCTTTTCTAAAACGCGTGTCGATAGTCATCGCGACTTTTGTTGCATCAACGGGGTGGCTTAATTAAACGTTAATTGAGTTAATTTAAAAGTTCACGGCAAAAATTCCGCGCCATCGAGACTCGCTTTTTACAGCGAGTATTTTAAGTTTAGTTTTCTATCTTAAACAAACAGCAATTCCGTCGAGTAGAAGTAGCGACCGTAATCGCTGCACAAACATCCTTCAGGAATATATTTCCAGATTTTAGTATCGACGAAGGAAGGAAAAAGCAGGAGAACTTTTTCCCGAAACAAAAGTTACTTTCATGTTGGACACAGGAAACGCTTTCGCTAGTGACGAATTTGTTAGTCATCGCGGTTCGTTCGGACGAAGAAACGATTTCTAATTACGATCGGACAGTAATTTTTCTATGTTTTTCTGGAATCGAGTGCTGTTCGGGGCACTTGACACCGAACGTGAGTCACAAAGAGTCTCCAGTCGAAGTGCAGACCACTTTACGGGGAATTGTCGATCGCGAAGACCCCGCGACGAGATTTTCTCGGCGAAAACCCTCGAACAGGGGCCCCATTCACGAAGAAATCGAAATTCCAGCGAGCCGGTTTTAGGCGGCTTCCTTTTACGCGCTCCTATTTCCGCCGCCGCTTTGGGATCCGTTTACTAACAGTTCCGAGGCCGTTGACGTACGTACTATGTTTTTTTCGCATACGAACGACACGATTCGCGTGGTAATACGGATT